ATATGGGGCGTTCCGTACGATGCTATCATTGATTATGGAGCTGCCATTTTAGCCATTTCGTTACGAGGGGTTGAAAGAGCGGGAAGAAAGAAGGACCTGATTATGCTCACGGAAAAAGAGCAGCTCGTTTCGACAGACAAATAAAATATCAAAACAGTAGGGCGAATGACCAATGTGGCGTTTCGATTAGGGAAGGTCCACGCTTTGGGAGATGTCGTAGTGTTGGATGTAAGCACTTACGACGTCCTTTTAGGCCTGCCCGTTCTTATGGCCTTGCGAGCCAATCTCGATTTCGAGAAATGATCGATTATCCTCCGAAATACGGGAGGAAGACCCTACGCCATACCTATGAGACTGACCCTTCACACGACCGCCAATGTAGCCTCCCGAGTTTCACCGCTAATGGCAGGAACTCTGAGTATGATCGACTGGGAAAATTCCGCGAATGATGAGTAGTCATTGAAGAAGGCGGACAATAATGACGAGGATGACGCTGTAATTCTGGAACTAGCACAGCAACGCATCTGCTATCCGGCGCGACAGAAAAATGAGAAATCCTTGACCCGAACCCAGCGAAACTTGCAGAGAACACAAGCGATGATTCTGGGCGAGCCTCTCGTACAAATTTCGAGGATGACCAATTCTTTGGAACCCCCTCGAACCTTGTACGAAGGTATCTCCCCCCCTACTTGAGCGATATCACGACAAAAGACATTTCTGCGATATTACGAGCCTTCCGCGATCTCTTCTACCACCTGCAAAGGAGATACGATTGTTACGCTTAGGGGCAGAAGCCAATTCTTTGGAACCCCCTAAGCGCTTCGGAACAGGAACTAACGGACTCGGAATTAGGATCGCAACGGAACCCATGCCATCACAGGATATTCGCGACGGAATAACCCCGGAAGAACACGTGGCCATCCGAGAACAAGATGCGCAGATGATGGCCACGGTATTCTCCTGGCGATCGGATCACTCATTCATTACTGCACCCCCGTCCGAAACCACCAAACCGGTAAACATGAAGCAAATCGATGTACAGATATGGGACCAATCATACGAACTACACGTGCCCCATTACGTACCTGACGAGATTCATCACCTAATCGCGGACATTCTGAAGGAATACCAAGGAGCGATTAGCGTGATAGACACGGATATCGGACTATCGTCAGTCATACAGCACGAGATTCCGACTGGTAACCATCCTCCCATCCATTGTAAGCCCTACAAATATTCCCTGGCGGAGCGGAAGACAACCCTCCAGCGGATTCGAGAGTTCGAAGCTAACGGATGGATCGAACCCGCTACTGGGCCATGGTCGTTCCCAATGGTATTAGTGCCAAAAAAGAACGGATCGATTCACATACGCATTGATTACCGCAAACTGAACGATATCACGATCAAGGATGTGTACCCACTTCCTATGATTGATGATTTGTTGGATGCGATTGGGTGTGCTAATTATTTTAGTAAATTTGATACTCGCCATGATTTCAATCATATCCTGGTTAAGGAGGAAAATCGACCGAAAACGGGCTTCGTAATGTTTGAAGGCACGTGGTAGTGGACTCGGTGTCCTATGGGGATCTGCAACGCACCTGCCACGTTTCAGCGGGCTATGAATGTGACGTTTCAGAATTTCGTCAACAAGACGCGGCTGACTCAATGAATGATCAACTTTTGCGTCATCATGTACATGGACGACATCCTGGTCTACTAGGAAACCTATCACGGACATGCACAGCATATCGAGTGGACGCTGGGAACTCTGAGAGATGCCAGGTTCAAGATCGCGCTCGAAAAGAGCGAGTTCTTCCTCTCGGAGATCTCGTTCCTGGGCTACGTGGTGACATGTTGAGGACTGCGTCCGGATTCGAGGAAGGTTGCGGCGGTGAAAGACGCCCCTGTTCCCACGTCATTGACGTAGGTTCGAGTTTTCCTGGGACTAGCATCATACTACCGTCGTTTCATCAAGGGCTTCGCCGCGATTGCACAGCCTCTAACGAACTTACTACGGAAGGACCAGCCCCTCAGTTGGGACACAGAGTGCGAACAGACCTTCGCCACCCTTAAGGACGCCCTGGCTACAACGCCTATTTTGATGTGGCCGGACCCTACAAAGCAGTTGATTCTTAGGACCAGCCCCTCAGTTGGGACGCAGAGTGCGAACAGGCCTTCGCCACCCTCAAGGACGCCTTGGCTACAACGCCTATTTTGATCCGGCCGGACCCTACGAAGCAGTTCATTCTTATCACGGGCTGGCAGCCGGAGGCGATTTCTGCTATTTTAGCGCAGAAGGGGAGCGACGACCGTGAACACGTCATCGAGTACGCGTCTCGTACGTTGCCAGACGAAAGAAAGAATGATTCTGCACCGCAAGGTGAACGCTACGCAGTAGTCTGGGGAATCCAGCACTTCCATCCGTATCTTTATGGACAAAAGCTTCTTCTTGTCGTGGATCACGAGCCACTACGGACTCTCAAGAGGCTCACCAATTACACGGGCATGATTGGGCGTTGGGCGGTGCGCCTACAAGAGTACGACTTCAATATCATCCATCGAAAGACAGAGAGGCACGACAACGCGGACGGATTGACACGTCTGCATCGACCAGCTAAGGTACCTAGAAGGAACCGGAACCAGCGAACGGGCCCAAGTATGGATAAGTGGCAGTTCTCCCACGGGGCAAGAAGCAGGCACGTGGCAATGGGTGACGGAGGTAATCGTACGACATCTCTCTCTCCCCTCTCACCTTCATCTCTTCTCTCTCTTCCCAACAAATTTTGCTATTTTTGCGAAGCAATTTCACGCGTTTATTCCGTCCCTATGCATCCTACTGGGAAGGATATGCGGAATGGGTAGGTTGTCAGCAGTGTGTAGCGCGAGCCCATAGCTCTTGCATTCAGTAAAGAAATGGCGATAAGCCTTGGCTGTGCCCCTTGTGTCGGGTCGATAAGATCCCGACCGAGGCTCAATTTCTCGACGCCACATCCGAAGGGTTAGAAAAGACCCGGAAGTTTAGAAGGGCCGAGGTATGGACGGATATTGCTTTAATCGTCACCTTAGTAGGTAGCCCCCTCCAGGACTTCACAAAGGACGACCGGAGGAGGGCCAATAAAAGGGTTCGGGACTATCGCTTGAATGAGGGTCGGTTAGAGAAACGGAAGACGGACGGTAGTGGGATTTGGATGATAGTGCCGCACCCGTTCATGAGGTATGACTGGGTTAAGACGGCGCATGAGGAAACTGCAGCCCATTTTGCCGTCCGAATTACGGAGGCAGTAATCGACAAAAATGAGTGGTATTGGTCCAATATCCACGACGATGTTAAATTCATCGTCCAGAATTGTCAGATGTGTGCTGCTGACAAGGCGCCGATTCAGCCACCAAGATCGATAGTACCTACGGTAGTTGAACAACCTTTTCAAAGGGTTAGTATGGATACTACCGATATTGTGGTGCCCCCTGGACCGAATAGCCGTGAATATTCGATCCTATTGGTATTTGTAGACCACTTCTCAAAATGGATCGAGACATATCCATGTCGTATGCCACAGGCGGTTGAAATAGCGCGATATGTCAACCGTTTTCTAGGAATGCACCAGGATACAAAGGAAATCTTGACTGATAATGGGGCGGAATTCAAAGGAGAGGTTTTGAGGAACCTGGTCATGCATGGATTCGCCATTCGGAGTACTGCACCTCACATGTCACAATCTAACGGGCTGGTGGAGAATGCAAATAGGGTGATAAAGACGGTGTTGCGACGAAACATCGCGGCACGGGATCCGAGACACTGGCCCAACATTGCGTTTCGATACCGAACCTCCCGGACGAATCTTCGCTGAACCGACGGCCCACGAGGGCCACGGTTTGGGACAAGGCCAAGCGACACCTAGAGCTGATGGAGCGGTCCCTTCCCCAATTAGCCCGGAAAGCCAGAAAATGACAGAGTTGGCCTACGGCCGACAGGTCCGCAGTTACGAGGCCCGGAATGGAAATGAGGGACCACGACCCCAGTATAAATTAGGGGACATGGTGCAAGTGAGGAAATGTGCTCGCCAAGGGAAGATAGCGCCACGATTCTTCGGGCGATTTCGTGTGATCGAGCTCGGCCCGAACGGGGTGAATACCGTGCGGCTCGCGCCGGAGGTCTCGGGAAGTCGATCGGCTCGACCGATCGTCCGCCACGTGTTCTATCTACGCCCTCTCCCATCCTCTCCATCTCCGCCTTCGCCTGCCTCCTCGTGCGACACCGAGGAAGACGACGACGATCTAGTCTCCCCCTCCCCGTCCATCTCTCCCTCTGGCACTCGTCTCCGCCTCCATCGCCATGAGCTTTTCAACGGAGCAGGTGATTAGTGCGCAACTGCTAACCCCAAGAGGGCGGATCAGTACAATCCGGCAAGTACAACGGCCACACCTCAGTGCCGATCTCCTTCGATTTGCGACATTCTTCAACACGACGACAATCCACGTGGGAACGGAATTCTGGTTTACGCAAGCGGCAACGACACGTGTCCTGACCGAGATTTCGGCCTTTCAACACCTGTCCCCTCCGGGGATCAGTCGCATCAGCGTCATCGTCGTTTTCATCGGGGATATTACAGCAGTACCATCGGCGACTCATCCCGACATCTTCCGGATGTTGCGCGCTTGGGGTGAAGAGATTCAGACTGCGTGGACAACGCTCCTCGCTCGGCGCGGGGATACGGTCGTGCCCTCGCACGACATCGATCTGCAACTTCGTTCTTCCATCAATTCGCCACCGATCGTGTTGCCGGAGCTTCGTCCCTTCGTCCAACCCCAATGAGTCGCCGCCGCCTTTCTCTCTTTGGCCTCCCGTCTGACATCCCCACCCTCTGGCAATCTGCTCACGCCCCCTCTCTCTCCTATCGTATCAAGCAAATCAGTGTGCCGATACTGAACGAGGAGAAGTGGAACGACTGGTGGGAGGCATACGTAGATCTCGCTTTTTGCTTGCTGGAAGTAAGGTTCCGCTGGTCTAGGCCAGCACCGTACAGAGAAGGACCTGAACTTCCAGACAACGAGGTGGAACTGCTGATCGTGCAAGCTTGGAGAATGGCGACAGAGGGAGATCTGTTGGGAATACTGTTTGGGAAGGTGGATGACGGGAATCTTGCTCTGATTACGAGCGAGTTGCTGGTTTTCCTGACACAGATGGTGGATGACCTGCCTCTGGACATCTTATCGCGGTGTGACAATCAGCCTGGCACCCACGTGCTTTCCAGGACGCTCGAGCCGCGCTTACTGTGGTCCACGTGTACTGAGATGGACGGCGACAACTGTGTCTATCTGTCCCAACCTCTTTTCCTTGAGATCGACGTCACCGATCTCACAGTGTGGGACCCCATCATCCAACAAGGAAACGCGCGGCAAGAAGAAGAGGAGGATGAAGAAGAAGAAGAAGAAGAATCAAGGGAAGATCGTGACGATCCCGATTACGTCCAAGGAGAAGAGGAGGAAGACGAAGAAGGTGAGGCAGCAGAGGAGGAAGGTGTAGTGGGCGAGCCGAGTCAGCGGCCCGGTCGAAGTAAGGAAGAGGAGGAAGCAAAAGCAAGAAGGCGGTTGGAAAAGGCGGAGGGAAAGCGGTCGATCACGGAAGAAACCCCGCCTGATCTATCGTTGGGGAATCCGTGGCTCGATCCAGAGCCCCCAAAGGAAGAAGAAGGAGGCGATGGAGCCACAACGGAGGGATCAGGAAGACGTCGTCGAAGGAGGAGCGAATCGTTGACTTCTTCTGGTTCCCCTGCCCGACCTGCCCTTCGCCTATGTCAAGATGAGGGCGATCGGGCTTCATCCCCGGTCGTTCTCTCACCGTCCCCCTGACTTCCTGATGCTCACCCGACTCCCTGGTAGACCCCCGTTCCCCGCTGGATGGTGCCCCTTCCCTCCCGACCTCTTCCATCACCTCTACGCCACCCGCCTCCTAGTCACCGTCTTTCCACACGCTACCACTCGCTCCGTAGTAGATTCTTTCCTTCTCCATGTTCTCTTGTTTAGTGCGGACTGGCGGGAATATAACCACATAGAAATATATTGTATTATATCAGGAACGATCCCCGCCTGCGAAAACTATGAGAATTTCCGCACCGCTCTTCGCCGCACCCTCTCCACCCTCTACCCCGACTGTATTGCTTCCCTCCCCCACCATCGCGAGGGATCTCGTTTCCCCTATATCCATCGCTCCATCTATTACACCTCCCTTCCCGCTTTCGAGTCTCCAACCATCAATCGGTTCATGCCTCCTCTCCCCTATAATCCTCCATCACCTCCCCCGTCGGTGATTAGATTGCCCTTCCCGGGAAACTTGTAGGACGGAATGCTTCTCGCCCCTGCTTCCGACGCACCCACCCCCTTGCCATACACCCATGTTGCGCCTCCCCTTCCTGATCGCCACTGATGCACAAATGCATGGTACGTGTCACGGCGATGGTACGCACAATCCCCTCCTTCGATTGAAGAGAGCCCTTCCTGAGGAATTTGTAGGATAGAGCCACGTATGCCACGTTGGATGACGTCCACACTCTTATCGCACGATAAGTGGCAACGAAGAGAGTTCCACGTGTCAATCGATTAGAGAGATCGACACGTGTTGAAAAGTCAAGCAAGCAAGAACTTGCTTAAGATTGGAACCCCCTGGGCGTCACATGTGCGACGAACCGATTTTTGTTCCGCCCGATCTTCTGCGCGAGGACAATGAGGGGTCATAAGATGGGAAGGTTGGGCCAATTACGGGAGACCAGGAACGAAGGGAAAATTGCATCGGTGTCCTCGCTTCTTCGTCTTTTTTGCGTCGCTTCTTTTCAGATGGCTGGGTTCAGAGCTGGGCAAGTCTCGGGACGGTCGATTAAGTGGCTGTCTCGCCGACAAAGGCACGATTAATAATGCTTGATGTCGCTTCCCTCTTGTTTTATTGTCGGGTTTTTGGCGCGGTGATCGCGCGAGAGTTTTGCGTTCTTTCTCTTTAAATTTATTTTTTGAATCTTGTCGAGCCCCCGATGGCTCTCGAAATTTTGGACTTTCTTTTCAGGATTTGTGCTTTAATAGATTCTGTTGCATTTTTTTATTAGATAGGAATTTAGGAATTCGAAATTTCTTTTTGCCTCGTGGTGCTCCTTGCTCGCGCGTTTCTTTTTGCGGCTGCAACGGAGCTCTGATTAGCAGGCGACCTTAATCTTGCGTCACTTTTGCATGTAACTATAATTTTGGGTAGGGCGCCTTTGTAGCTGTATCTTTCTTCTTGGGCTTCGTCTTTTCCGCCCTCTCTTTTTTTTGCTAAGTCTAATTGGCCCGCGAACTGCATGATCGGATCGATGCGTGGAGAGTGGCTACGTCCCCCACGCCACGATCTGGCCATGCAGAACGTAGGCACTCCCTCCCCCTTCTCTCCTTTTAAGTCCTTGCAATTCCGTGTTCTCCGTGCATGCATGCACACTATAAATTCCGACTGCGAGATTAGATACCTCTCTTAAACAGTTGCTGGAAGCTCGGGGTAGTGCGATCAGTGAGGGTCGGCTCACGAGCGAAGTAAGAGGTGAGTTGCAGTGGGAGTTGGGCGACCCGACGAGCTGGTGCCAAATGTGCGGGATTGACGCGTGGGGCTATGACGGACTGTAGCGCGCGGGCGAATCCGACGGGCGCAGGAGGACTAAGCGGGGTGCCAACTTCGTGGGTTGGTGCGAGACGACAGACTGTCCCCATCGGAGAGAGAGAGAGAGAGAGAGAGAGAGAGAGAGAG